GAACTGACCAGGGAAGATCGGAGAGGAGGAAGGCCCGCCTCCGCAGGGGGGGGTCCTTCCTTCCGAAGGGTCTGTGCCCACCGGGCTGCTGGCAGCCTGCTGCCACACGGCCACAGAACGGCACGCCTCTCTAGGTAAACCAAAACACAGGTGAAAGATGAAGGAGGCTTTTCCGGTGTCTAAGAGCCAAATTCCAGGCAGCTTCTGCCTTCGTTCCTTTGGGGAACATTCTGAAGGAGCAGAAACTGATAATTTCCCATTTGCTTTCTTCAAACATGACAGTGAGACCTGATTGTTTTTTTAGCCTCGCGCAGTAAACACCTGTAGAAGCAGGGATTTTTCGATTGGCCTCCACCAAGCTTAGCGTTTCGTACGGTGACGGAGCTCCGTCGTGTTGCATGATCGTTTGTGTATCCTTAGGAGGTGATTTAGTCCGGGAGAGTCCCCGACGGCCAAAAATGGGCCCAGGCTTTTCTTGCGTATTAGGAAGGTCAGGAAACTTCCAGCCAGTGAGTTTGCTCGTTTGATTTGGTCAGATGTTTTCCACGTGGCAGAGGCTGTATAAGAAATCGTGGTGTTAGGTTTGAAACCACACCCCTAGAGAGGAAAATTCTTCCAGACGCTAAAAGAACCTGATGATGCTCATGTGATCTCTGGGTTCGGAGAAGAAACGTCGTTGCTGACATTGATGTGTTGGTACACTCAGTGGGAATTTGTATTGTCTTTTGGCTTCCTGACTTTAAAAAAAGAACTTCCAGCCAGGAAAGGAAAGGCATTTCTTGGTCACCTGGGGAAATGTTACTGGGAATTAAAAAAAAAAAAAAATTAATTAATTGGCTATTTCACTGAAATTGGTCCTGTGGTATAGTTTATAAATCCAGATGAGGATTTCGAACTTACTTGATTGTTTATTCCCTTAGGTTTCTGGCAGTCAGACATTAGAGTCTCGGGTTTTGGGGGGCTGGGCTCCCATATCGTTGGGACATCGCTGTGTTGAGTGTTTTAGGCTGCGGTCCAACTTCTGCCTGCCCTCTTACGTAATGCGTCATTCATTGTTCCGCATTTCTAGAAAGAAAGCACACAAACCGATTTTATTTGTAAATGTGTTGCACATTTTTTAAATTGATGACTCAACAGATGGTTCATTGTATTACACATAACACGGGATTTCCAGTGTATGTTGGAAAAACATAACCATCTTTTACATTGTTACTCAGCAAGTCAGGCAGTGATGAATCAAGACTTTATCTGTTACTTATAAACAAGTCTTCCATTAAAGGCTACTTTCATAACTGTTAGATGAAATTATCTCAGATCGACACAGTGTGGGGTTTATCTTACTCTGTGTCGCCATTCTCTTTTTCCCCTAAGCTATAGATAGTTGAACTTGAAACCTTTTTCCTTTGGAAATCTTTCTCCTTAGTAGATGCTGTGGGGTAGAGGTCTTTGCAACACCTTAACTTTTATAAAAGTAAACCTTAAGGTGTTTTTTTCATATCCATTACTATTTTCTGGACCATTGGAGTTGATGAGTGAAAAAAAAAAACAAAAAACTAGTTTCAATTAAAGTGTTTCGTGGTTAAACATAAAGATAACTGCTTCCATAAATAAAGTAATTTATTTCACTGTTTGCTTCTCAGTTTTCACTCAGTCATTCGTCTTCCCTTTAACGGCAATGAGCTAAAACTGCCCGACTGAGGGTAGTTTTTGCTTTTGTGCCCAGTCTGACTGAATTTCCCTCTGATGTAGTGGAGGGACCAGGTGTTTGGACCAGGTGGGTCTCTTAGTCTGGTCCAGTCCTGTTCTTCCAAAGTTCCGTTATTTTTAGGTTTGTTTACTTCGTTTCTTCGTTGAAGTTAATTATTAAGCCATTAAAAATAAATTCCTGGGTTATCCTGACTCTGCGAGGTCAATGAAATGATCCCGAGTAAAATGGAACCCTCCCCATCACTTTGACTGTCTCGTAAGTCTGGTCTGAGAGCGCTCAGTGGTCTGGTCCATTGGTGGCTTTATAATTGCCAGTTTCGTCAGGCTATGTCGGGACGATTACCCATGGACCACTTTTAAAACAGGTAATTAAATGGGTTGAAATATTAATTCCCGTTTTCTTTTCCATCTGTTTCCCAGCGCCAGCCAGCTTTGGACACCTTCGATGGGTCCCTGTTTGCTGTTTTCCCCTCTCTAAATGAAGAGCAGACACTCCAGGAAGTGCCCACAGGCTTGGATTCAATTTCTCACGGTAATTTGTTACTCAGACTTGACAAAGTGTGCCTGGTTTCTTCCCCTGGTTCGGTTACTAAAGAGGCGACCATTTGCAAGCGGCCACGGTTGGTGTCTTCAGTCTTTGGCATGCAAAGTCGGTGACTCTGGACCTGGGAGAAGACAGTTTTCTCACTATGAACATGCTGGCTCTGGTGTCTTCCACTGCCAGGCGCCCCCCAGCCAGAGCAAATGCCCTGCTGGGACCAACCTGTAGGGGAGCCCCTGAGATTTCCACTGGGATGTTTGCAACACTGTAGCCAGCCTGGGTCCGGCGCACCTGCAAAGCCGATGATTAAAATGCACCCCAGCTTCTCTGTCTGGGGTCTCCTCATTAGTCAGATCATCCACCCCACCCCGGAGTCTTGGGGCAACAAATGACACTTGCTAATATCCGCCCGCCCGTATGTATTTATTTCTGTAGTTCTTAATGTCATGGCTTATTGTTTTTAAAGGGACAGCAGTCAGATAATGCCTGTACAATTACTGGGATAGGGTTATTCGTTGGAAACATTCCAGAGATTACTTTGTCATACGAAGTAGGTGCTGGAAAATACAGCCCAGAAAACTAATTAAAACACAGATGCCTGCCTAAGTATACCATCCTGAGGTCGTTTATCATTCATGAAATTGCTGAGGGAACCGGGAGAAGATTGGTTTTCAATAAAAATTGCAGGTGCGCTGACGTGACCGGGGCTAAATGCTGTGTGTTCGCATTACACCAGAAGGCCCTTTACCTGCTGTTATTTGAATGGAGGTAACTTCAGATTGTACATTTACAGGGGCACCTGGGTGGCCCCGTCGGTTAAGCGTCCCACTTCGGCTCAGGTCATGATCTCACAGCTCCTGAGTTCGAGCCCCACGTCGGGCTCTGTCTCTGTCTCCTTCAAAAATGAATAGCCAGTTAAAAAAAAATTCTTTTAAATGGCAGATTATACATTTACCGTACCTTAAAACCTTTGACCGAAACCACCTAGTGTCTTTCATTGTTTAAAAATTTTAAAAGAGGGGTGCCTGGGTGGCGCAGTCGGTTAAGCGTCCGACTTCAGCCAGGTCACGATCTCGCGGTCCGGGAGTTCGAGCCCCGCGTTGGGCTCTGGGCTGATGGCTCGGAGCCTGGAGCCTGTTTCCGATTCCGTGTCTCCCTCTCTCTCTGCCCCTCCCCCGTTCATGCTCTGTCTCTCTCTGTCCCAAAAATAAATAAACGTTGAAAAAAAAAATTTTTCTTTTTAAATTTTTTTAAAGAGATTTAGATAGGAATTTCACCTAAGGATAATGGCAAAATAATTTGCAAGATAAAATAAAACTTGCATTTTATTTTCATAAGCGTAGCTGTGAGATGTAGGATATTTTCTGAATTTCTACCCCTCCCTGCCCAAATTTTTGATAACATTTATACTCTCTTAAGGAATTACGTCAGGGTTTGAGATCACAGTTGTTCTTTCCTGAAAACTTAACAAGATTTCTCCCCTGAATTCAGTATCTGGTCGTGCCAGCTTCCAGTCCTCATGTCCCCATGGGGTTTCTTTCTAGATGCATCCAGCTGCGAGTTACCTCTGTTAACGCCGTGCAGCAAGGCCGTGATGAGTCAAGCCTTAAAAGCTACCTTCAGCGGCTTCAAGAAGGAGCAGCACCGTCTTGGCATCCCAAAGAGTAAGGGCCACTTTTTCCAGTAGTTTCCCTGAGTCTGGGTTGTACTGGAAGAACGAATCTGACCATCGTTGCTTGGGATGACGGCCGGTTCTTCCCCAGGCAGCTTGCAGGGTGGCGGGGGTGTGCATAACCCGAGCCAGTGAGGGTTTCAAACCCGTCAACCGGCCGAACACTCAGTCCGGCACCGTTGTTACTGTCTTAGAGTTTACTGGGTGTCTTTCCCCTCTGCCCGGTCTCTGGTACACATCTGGACTTTGCGGGCAGATCGGGAACGACGCAGCCCTCACTGCCTCCCTCCCGTTTTCTCCCTGTGTGTGTCTGTCTGTCCTTCCCTCCCCCGGACAGACCCCTGGCTGTGGACCGAGCAGCAAGTATGCCAATGGCTCCTCTGGGCCACCAGTGAGTTCAGCCTGGTCAACGTCAATCTCCAGAGGTTCGGCATGAATGGCCACGTGTTATGTAACCTGGGCAAGGAGCGTTTTCTGGAGCTGGCACCTGATTTTGTGGGCGACATTCTCTGGGAGCATCTGGAGCAGATGATCAAAGGTACCCGCTGGGGGGCCTGGCTCCTGCTCGCCGAGGAGAGCCGTGGCAGGGAAGAGGGATGGAAGGGGGAGCGGTGCTCTGTAATCGTATGGTTGGGGTTCCGAATTACGTAAAGTGCCTGAAAATGCCACCGGAGTGAGTCAGATGTGTGGCCGTGATTAGAGGGTTTTTAATCCACTGAATGTGTATGTGTGTGTGTGTGTGTGTGTGTGTGTGGAATGGAGCATAGCCACGAGGCAGTGACCTGAGTCACTAACTCGTTGACCGTGGTCAGATGGCATGTGTCAGAGGAGTGCGTGTTGGCTCAGATACAGAGGCCAGCAGAATTCCCAGGTGCTGGGGTGCATCTTAGAGAACCCGAAGGAGCAAGTTGCCCTGAGTGAAAGGGAGCTTTTATTCAGACACACTCCGTGCATTTTACAGTAAGTTTTCCTAAGACCCAATGGAATGCAACAACGAGAATTTCCTCTGGTTTTATCTATTTAAACAAATGCAGAAGTGATTGATATATGTTTACACGCTGACATGTTCTGCAGAAACTGGCCATTGGATAAAAAGAACTCTCATCAGATAGAAAGTCTTTAATTTTTTTTTTAATGTTTATTTTTGAGAGAGAGAGAGGCAGAGCGTGAGCAAGGGAGGGGCAGAGAGGCAGGGACACACAGAATCCGAAGCAGGCTCCGGGCTCCGAGCTGTCAGCACAGACCTCGACGTGGGGCTCGAACTTGTGAACTGTGAGATCATGATCCGAATCGAAGTCGGACGCTTAACCGGCTGAGCCACCCAGACGCCCCCAGAAAGTCTTGATTTAGACCTTATAAGAGTGTTGGCAGCAATGTTAACAACACATCTAGTTAAAAAGAAAAAAAAAATTATAGGAAAGGATCAAGTTATAAATATAAGAAAATCAGTTCATTGGTAGAGTTCAGAGAAATAGTCCTCATTCACTTGATTTTAAACACTGTGTTTCAACACCTTTTACAGACCCAGGATCTTTAGGTTTCAGCCACCATTTCTTTTAGGCTGTGACTTCTGGGGGCCAAGGAAGCTTATTTGTGAAGACCCCCAAATCCTTCCTGAACTTGGACAAGTCTGATTTGACGAGTTTCTGGTGAATCTGCTCACTGGCGGGTTGGGCCTGTCTGACCATCACTCAGGGTGTGAGTGTGTGTGGGCCTGGATTTGTGGGTGTGTGTGGTTCAGTGTGTTTGTAGGGAGTAAGCACACACAGGGAATGCTAATAACCTTTTCCTTTTCAAAGTTCCCAGCCCCTGGGACAGATGGAACTTCATAAATATCTAACTACCTCTTGACGGCAGGGGTGAATTAAATTCACGGTCTAGATATTTGAAATGATGCCGTAGAACGTTTAGCTTGGCCAGTGACAGCGCTCATGGTGGAAAACTCACTCTAGTTATTAGAAAATGTGTTGCTATCTCCGGTTTTTTAAAAAGACCAAATGACACTGATTACCGTCTGATTAAATGTGGAGCACAGGGGCGCCTGGGTGGCTCAGTCGGCTGAGCGTCCGACTTCGGCTCAGGTCATGATCTCGCGGCTCAGGTCAAGTCCCGCATTGGGCTGTCTGCTGTCAGCACAGAACCCCCTGTCAGATCCTGTTCCCCTCTCTCTCTGCCCCTCCCCCGCTCACACTCTCTGTCTCTCTCAAAAATAAATTAAAAAAAAAATCTTTAAAAAAATTTTAAAAAACGTGAAGCGTAAACGCATTTCGATATTCTAAAATAACCGTACGATAGTAATTTGGGAATAAATGTTTTTAACCTTGATTTGCAATCCTATGCCTCCTGTATCTGTTTTTCAGAAAACCAAGAAAAGACAGAAGATCAGTATGAAGAAAATTCACACCTCAACTCCGTTCCTCATTGGATTAATAGCAATTCACTAGGTCAGTCCAATCGATTCTTGCCCTGAAGACCTTGGTTTCAAGCTTTTCTATTAAATTTGCACTCTCCACCCCCACGAAAAAAATAAAAATAAAAATAAATTTGGACTCCCTGGCGCACAGTCTTGGCCTGCACTGTCCCCATGTGGTGACGACACGTGGCTCTTGATGCGTGGCTGGTCCACGTTGAGACGTGTGGTAAATAATACACATCTGCAACGATAATTATTACTATTGAGTCAGATAAAAGGTTAAAATTAATTTCACCTGTTTATTTTCAGTTTGCTGTTGCGGCTACTGGAAAATCTAACGTTGGCTGAGTGCCTGGCATGATCTTTGCCTGGCCAGTGCCGTCTAAGGCGTTCTGTAGAGCCCAGGGGCAGAGCGAAGCGGGCTGACAGTTGTAGTCAGAGCTGGTGCAATCAGTAAGAGGGGACAGGCACGGGAAGCATGTAGAAGGCAATTCTAAATTTGCTCTGAACTTTGGAGTTCAAAGAAGTGTCCTGGAATTCGGGTCTTCCCTTCTGGTCACTGACACTGATGAGTGTAGATTACAGATGGTCCCCCACCAGCACCCCCCCCCCTCCCCAGCCAGCAGAGGGAGGGGATGTTCCCTTGCAAGGCACACGCTGGGTGGCAAATCACTTACTCCCTCCGAGCCTTAGAAACTGAAAGAGCCAGTGACCTCTCCGAGGCAGGATGAAAGCATTTGATAAACCAGAGCCGTAGAAATGCTAACATCGAGGCACCGCATCTCGGTCCGGGGAGTTTTGGAAAAGGGCTCCCTGGCTTCAGAAGAGCTGTTGCCGAAGCCCACATCCCCCCACGGTTTCGTGGAGGGTGAGAGCGCGCAGAACGGGTTGTGTTTGGTTCGGTTCGAGGGCACAGAGGGTCTCTGATGACCACGTCGCTCCTGCCTAACAACTCTGCCGTCCGATCGTTGTGTCCCAGGCTTTGGCGTGGAGCAGGCAGCGTATGGCGTGCAGACACAGAATTACCCCAAAGGCGGCCTCCTGGACGTGTGTCCATCATCCTCAGCACCCAGCGCACTCGGTTCTGAGCAGGACTTTCAGATGCTCCCCAAGTCTCGACTCAACACCGTCAGCGTCAGTTACTGCCCCGTCAGTCAGGACTTCCCAGGCGGCAGCTTGAACCTTCTCGCTGGCGGTTCTGGTAAGTCAGGGCTCCAGGCTTGATTCAGACAGTCGCACAGTGAGGGGAGCTTCTCACGCAGCTCGGCCTGGATTCAGCCTTTGGAGGAGGGCACAGGTCCCCTCTGTGTCCCAAGTGCTGTGGGGCACTGTTGCAGGGGACAGATGGTCTCCGCAAACATCGACTCCCGCTATGTTTCACGCTCTGAGCCGGGCACCGCGGGTATTGAGCAAACAAGGCATGGTCTCTGCTCTCGCAGCTGGATTCCTCCACTCAGTGGGCTATTTTGGGAGAAAACGTAGGAATGTGACATTCCTGCATGTGGGAGAAAACGTAGGAATATGACAGATTTCTTTTTATGGAGGCGCACACGTACAACGCACAAATCTCGGCTTGTACTGCCGGCTGACTGTTTACATATATGCCCCTGAGTAAGTTAACAGCCACCCAGATGGAGATAGAGAAGCTTCCAGCCTCCCAGAAGACCCCGTCATGTGCCTTCCATTGGTAGCGTCCACACAGCAAGAGGAAACCATTGTCTTGACTGCTGTCATCATAGATTAGATTTTCCTGCCCATGAACTTGATATAAATGGAATCCTAGCGCTCTGTTTTCTTGTGCCTTTTGTTCCTCATCGTGTCTGAGACCCATGCATGTGGTTGGATGTGGCAGACAATTGTCCTTTTCTTTCTTTTTTTTTAAGAGTGAGTGGGGGAGGGGCAGAGAGAGAGGGAGACCCAGAATCCGAAGCGGGCTCCAGGCTCCGAGCTGTCAGCACAGAGCCCGACGTGGGGCTCAAACCCACGAACTGGGAGATCATGATCTGAGCCGAAGTTGGGGGCTTAACAGGCGCCCCCCGGTTGTCCTTTTAATTGCTGTGTAATATTCCATCCTGCAGAGCTGCGCTTGGTTCGGCCATGCTGCTGCTGGGTGCTGAGGTTGTATGGCACATTAGTCATCAGGACCGAGTGCCTCGTGGAGGAGCTTTGTGAGCAGTCCCCAGGGGGGTTGGTGTCCATGCTGCTGCAAAGCCCCAGACCAGCCTGAGGTCCCTCGCGGCTCAGTAACACAGGACGGTCCCCTGCCCCGAGGAGTCAGCGTCCGTGCCCGGTTGTCTTTGCCAGGAAAGCCCCGGGACCGTGACTCCCCCGAGAACGGCACGGACAGCTTCGAGAGCTCGGACTCGCTGCTGCAGTCCTGGAACAGCCAGTCGTCGCTGCTGGATGTGCAGCGAGTGCCTTCCTTCGAGAGCTTCGAGGATGACTGCAGCCAGTCCCTGTGCCTCAACAAGCCGACCATGTCCTTCAAGGACTACATCCAGGAGCGGAGCGACCCGGTGGAGCAGGGCAAACCAGTCATACCTGCGGCGGTGCTGGCCGGCTTCACAGGTGAGCGCATCGCCCGGGTCTCCCCGTCACCTCCCCGGGCCCCGCCCGGCCGCAGCGCCGCATTATTTATCCAGGGTGTTTCTGGTTGGAGCACATTGTATTCACACCCCGCGTTGCCTGCGTGGCTGTCATCCCGAATCGGGCAGGCCGCATCCCCGATTTCTAAAACGGCCAACGTTGCAGGGATTTTCGCACACCCAGCTCGGTGGCGGGGATGCGCTTCCAGGGGCGGCTCCCTCACCTGGGGTGTGCAGGGCCGGCCTGCAGGGGAGACGGCTGGGGCGCACGCACGGGGCCTGCGGAGGCCTTAGCTCTGACTCACCCCCTCCAGGAATTCCAAAGAACGTCAGCCAGCCCAGGGAGGGACAGGAGCCCGCCTGCAATAACACGGGGGCTGTTTACCTTTTCGTGTTTCTAAAATCCATCTTATTTTTAAGATTTGGGCGAGAGCTATTTTAGGCAACGGATAAATATTAAGGCTGTTTCTGGAAGCAGATATTTCCAGTGCTTGAGCAAAATTACCAAGATTTTTTTTTTCATTGCTTCATAGGTCCTTAAATGTGTGTGGGTGTTTATGGTTTTTTTTTTC